AAAAAAAAAAAAAAAAAAAAAAACGAATAACGAATAAAAAAATCCAAATTTAACAAACAAACATTGCTTATTCATTGTTAATAAGTTACAGAAGGTCGTTTTCAACGATTGTTATTTCTATTAAATATTATATATTTTTCATTTATAATATACTTTTTGAACTTTTTCTGCTTTTTTTTTCTGACAGTGTTTTTTATACGTAGTACTTGTTTCTGCTTCAAATGAACAAAAACCTTACTTTTATACTATTTACTTTAATTGCTGAACACATTTTTTCTTTCTGTATTCAAATGCTAATTTAAAAACAACGTCTTTGACTGAATAATTGTAACTGTTCAGAGTTTAAACTGTGTCGATTGCTTGTTAAAAATATTCAGTTGAGATTTTGGCATTAGAAAAAAAAAATGACGAAGTTGATGATGATTGTAATGATTAATTTTGATTATAAATGACTCAAAGAATTTAAATATTTTAAAAAATTTGCTTTTGGCTTCAAATGAAGAGAAGAGTAAGGGTATTTTGAAGTGTTAATGGAAGGTTCAGAGGCATGGTTTTGATGGTGTAACAAATTGAACTAAACAATTATAGTTTTAAAGAAACAGTTAATATGTAGGATTTGAAAGTCAAATTATAGATGTACAATTATCAACTTAGAAAACTTGTACCGTTGTTATCCTATATAAAACTTTTTTGCCAACTAACCAGCATTTGATTAAAAGTCAAAAAATTTTATAACCAAAACTTGTCGGAAGTTTACAACAAACTGCCTTTATGTGCATATGTGTATCGGTATGCGTGTGTGTGTGTGTGTGTATGTATGTATGTTTGTTTGTGAGTATCTGTGTATCTGTCTATGTATGTATGTATGTGTGAGTGTGTTGGTATGTATGTTTTTTTAGATTATTAGGCTTTTACATTAGTGAGTAATCAAATAAAATTAGAAGCGGTTTTTTAATTTTTTAATTATGGAACAGTGAGCAGCAAATTGCACCTAGACTACAGCGAGTGATGATGATGATGATGATGATGATGATCATTCGACGGTCTCAGACGCCAGTATTTTTGACTGTCGATCACTGGGTACCCATCTTGAGCCTCAAAAAGCCGGTTTTTACCTTTTTGTTTAGTTTTTCTTTTCAACTGCTTCTTCGAACTTGGTACATCATAGGAAAAGAAAAATTATTATTATTACCATTATTATTGTTATTGTTATTACTACTTACTATTACTATTACTGTTACTGTTACTTTTACTACTACTACTATTATTATCAATAGTAATATTTTTGTTATTATTATTACTTTTTTTTTACTAATTGCTCTAGAAGCTTACGCATTTTGTTTATTTCATTTTGTTTTTGTTTTATTTTTTGCTTTCTTTCTCTTTATATGCTTTCTCGTAACTTGACAACGTTTTTTTCGCTGGTGAGGAAATTTCAATTTCAGTAATTCTACCTTGATTAGGTTTATGGAAGCATTATGTTTGCTCAGGCTTTCACAGTTGAAATTATTTTCTTTTTTCAATTGCTTTTCTTCGGTCTGCAACAGTAAGTACCGATAGGTCTGATCAGTATAAGTGCCTTTCTTGTTGTTTTATTTGATCACAAATTTTGATTTTTTTGATTATCGGTAAGGTATTGTTGTATTGGCAGCAGTTTTTGTACACTTCGATTACATGCATTTCTAACTTGACGGTGAACTTGGAATTACAACATTTTGAAAACAAAAAGGGGAAAAAAAAGAACAAAAAGGTTTAGGTGTTTTAAAAATTTATCATAATATAACATGTGTTAATGCAGACAATTTTGCAAGTACCAGAAGTGGTGCTTGCATGGTTCAAATTTTTGTATTTGTTTCACCCAGAAGCAGGTTTTTAGTTTCTGCTCCGCAAAAAAAGTAAACAAACTAAATGACTTTTACTTTTTGAGCCTAGGTTTTTTTTTTAACATTATAGAATGGTATTGAATCTCAGACTGGAGCGTTAGCAATGATAAATATGTTTAATATGGCGCAACTACTATCTATGGCATCGGCGAGTCAAAACCCCGCCTCATTGGCTTCGTCCACCAATCAGCAGGCTGCGGCCATAGCCAGTCTTGCTGCCGCTGGCATCCCGTCTACGATGATGCCACCCTTTGGGGCTTTCGGTAATCCTTTATCATTATTATTTTGCACTCTGTTATTGATCTGTTACTTCAAATGCGCTAATAACGTTAAAAAATAACATTGTCAATTTTCTTTCTGCCTTCGCAGTGTTAAATCGTCCGACAGTTGTTGTGCAGTCAGCCAAGAAGTTTCACTGATTTGAGTACGATCACTATTAATCACAGTTGTTTTGGAAAAAAATTGACATAAGGTTATCATAAGAAAGTTGGCAGTAGCTAGTCGAAAAGAAGTTGAAGTTTTATGAAGGCTTTATTGTCGTTTCGGTACTTATGAGCTACTTTTGAAAAACTCTGTATCTGATGCTTGAAAGTTATACTTCGGTGGATATGTCAACTTCTTTATGAACACAAAAATAATTATGGCGATTTTCAGGGCAATTTTCGGGTCTTCCAGAATCTTTGAATGTTCAAAATGAACGTCAGGTCCAAAATGACGACGATAAAACTCCTAGAAATGGTTTAGCTTTCCGAAAAATGCTGGAAACTTATGGTGAGTTGAGTTGCTGCTTACAGTTTCATTTTTCTTTTCAAAAATTCATTATATAAGGTTTGATATCAAATTTTAAAAATTTTTTTGTTGCGCTTGGTACCGAATGAAAGATTTTTTAAATTTTATTTTGAATGACTTTTTTAAACTCTTTTTAATCTGTATTTTCAACTGCATTTCGATGTGCGAGAAGAAAATTTTTTCTTTTTTTTTTCCTTTGAACAAGTAGACTATAGTTTTGAGTGGGTTAGAACTGAAAGTATGAAAGAAATGTAAAATGATTTAATTTTACGTTCTTTTTAAAAATGAAACAATTTTAATGGTGCTAGGGTTTGATGTTACCAATATACACTAATACAGCTATTGAAATTGTTTGCTTAAAGCTCTGTATTATTGGCAAAACCACTGTAATATTTCATCTTTGTTGTTCATTTTGGTACGGAAAAGACACCTTTTGCAACTTACACAACTTTAATCAGCTTTACGTTTTACATTTCTGACACTTCTAGCAAAAAAAAAAAAAAGAAGGGAACTGGTTTTTTTTTCACCAGACTTTTGAAAACAAAATTTATTTTAATTTTAAATACACTGCTCCCTTATATTTTGAAAGCGTCGCTGAATTTAAACACAGATTTTCCAGGATACGATGTTGTCATGCAGTTCAATGAAGGCGCTGAACAGCGCAAACGTAAATTAGAATCACTTACCGAAGACGAGGTACCTGAAATTTGTGCTGTGGACTGCAGTAAATGTAGCAAACGGTTCAGTTCAATATGGGTTCTCAAAGCACATTATGAAGAGGTCTATTGTCGAGACTTGTCTGAATTTTGACATTACTACGTTATGTAGTGATATTTCTCAATAAAATCTTCAAATTTTTCTCTCTCGATTTATAAGTTACTATATAGAATGATTTCATTTTATTATTTTACAATATTCTTCTATTTCTAGGTTCATAGTAGTACTGTGCCATCTGAAGATGTTGAACTATTCGCTGAAAAATTAAGGAAGTTTCTGGATGAAATGGAAGAAAAAGAAAATAGCATTGAAGAAGAAGGAAGTTCTGAGGTTGGCAAAAAGCGTCGACGGGATGACTCAAGTGTTGAACGCGAAACTTTGTCACGTAATTCGGAAGATAAATTTAAGCCAGATGTGAGAAGTTTTTAAACAGTTTGTGATTCATTTGATGTAGACAGTAATCACTTAGAATGCAATAGGAAGTAAGGCACTCGAGTATTCGATATTTTAGACAAAAAGGTTAAAAGAGGAAGTTCGTGCGTGTTCGGTGGGGTCAACAAGTTCCACGCCCCTACCTTCAACTTCAAAAGATGTACCAGATTTTAGTAGTCAGTTAGCTGTGATGGGAATGATGGGGTTTCCATTTATTGCTACTCCATTTGTACCAGTTGTGACTCCCGAATTTTTCACCAACCCGTTGTTAACTGCTCAAACCACAACGCCTGTACTACCGCAAGGTACTAGTAATCCACATTTAATGCCTGCGCAAATAATTTCAGTTTTTTGTTGCATTTGCAGTTTAGAGATTAAACAAATCAAATGGATTGCTACTTTTTTTTGATGGCGTCATTTGTAGTTTTAATCTCTTTCTTGCGTTATGAACAGAGGTTTCTGGAGCCTATGAAAAGCGTTTTATTCCTTTATTGTTTGGAAAAAGTTTTTTCTTAACCAGCAGTGATTTAAAAACTTTAGCTTCTTCGGGAAATTCCCCGACAAAAAGGGCACGGACTCGGATTACCGATGATCAACTAAAAGTATTACGTCAATATTTTGACATTAATAATTCACCCAGTGAAGAGCAAATAAAGGAAATGTCAATCAAGACTGGTTTAATGGAAAAAGTGATAAAGCATTGGTTTAGGAATACCTTGTTCAAAGTAATTTTGCTTCTGATTTGGCCTTTTTGAGACAAGAAGCGTCACTTTTAGTTACAAATTTTAAATTTTGAACGCTTGCTTTCAGCAGTAAAAATTTTTGATAACATATTTAGGAACGTCAACGAGACAAAGATTCACCGTATAATTTTAACGTGCCACCACAGATGAGCATTGATTTGGCCACTTATGAGAAAACTGGTGAAGCAAAAGTTACTTCGCTCAAAGTAGAGGTTAGTAGAGAGGTATTTTACGGCTGAGGACACTTTTTGCAGACGTCTTGTTTCTGCTAATTTTTACCGGTGATATATGTTGTTGAAATTAAACTTAGTGAAAAAAACGTTTAGGCTGCCAGTGAAGAACCTGCTCCTACACAAACAAAACCTCAACGAGAAGAGGAGACTGGAACTGCTACAACAAATGCAGCATCATCTGTTGTCTCAAGTAGTTTGCAGCTTCAGCAGAATCAAATGTCTAATGCTTTTGCAAGCCAATTTGTTGCTCTGCTAAATGAAGAACGTGGAATGCCTCCGTTATCTTCAGGTTGCTTTTTTCATAAGGAATTTTTCTATATGTTTACAGTTTTCTGCTTTTGAATAATCTTTTGTCTTTTTAACTAAAAACACTCTGTTCTCAATCTTGTACATAAAAGTTTTAGGAATCACTTCGTCTGCCTCCAACTCTGGACGTCGAGCAAATCGAACTCGGTTCACCGACTACCAGTTGAAGACCTTACAGGTGTTTTTCGAAAGGCAGCCGTATCCAAAAGATGACGATCTAGAACTCCTTTCCAAAAAACTTCAGCTGAGTCCTCGAGTTATAGTTGTGTGGTTCCAAAACGCTCGTCAGAAGGTCGGTTTCGCTTTAAAGTTTCTTATTTCAACTACCTTCATCCGTTTCACTTATGTTCTTGAGAGATGGTTTCACTTTTAGGCACGCAAGATTTATGAGAATCAGCCGTCATCTGTTGGAGACGACCGTTTCTTAAAAACTCCTGGTAGCAACTTCCAGTGTAAAAGATGTCAGGTGGTATTTCAAAGATACTATGAACTTATACAGCATCAGCAGAAGTCTTGTTATAAGGATGACGGAGCTGCTCAACAAAGGGACAATAAGGTTGGTTTTTGAGAGAAATTTTATAGGAAACTGCATATTTCTTAGTTAAAAAATGCTTGATCCTGGAGCTGATAATCATTTGGCAATCATTTCTAGGCTGTCGAAGAAAATTTGAGTGAGGACGAGAAGAATTGTGATAGTGATAGTCCTAATATGTCCTGGTTAACAGCACAGTCAAGTGGCAGCCAAAAAACGGATCTGACGAACGTTCTCGCGCAACTTATGAGTGCTGCAGGTACTGAAGGAGGAGCTGACTTGAAACAAGCTGATTTTTTAAAATTGCTCGCTGGAACCTCGATGGCCCAAGATTCTAACGTCACGTATGTGAAGGTATGAGTAAAGATGATTTTCTTCTAGGAGTATCTAGTTTTGTGCAGTTTCGCATTTACTGCCTGTCAGCATAACTGTAGGGTTCCAGCGCTGGCTCCATCGCTTCTAGAGCTCTGTATTTTCAACTCCTTAAGGCGGCTTGCGTTTAATCTCCCTTTATGAGCACATTCAGTGTACTACAGCTCAGTTTAGTGGTTGCGCTTTATCCGGTTATCCTTTGCAGTTTCGCGAAGAACAGTTAGAATATAGAAGCGACTACTGACTGTTTTTAGCTGGTAGGAAGGTTACAGCGCTTTTGTGAACACCATAAAATTGTACTTTAAATTTCAGAAGGTGCGTGAGAAAAAGAAAGAGTTTTATAAAAGATGCCCATTTTGCTGTTTATTATTCCATTCTCGTGAGTCCCTTATAAGTCACATCCCAGAACGACATCGTGAACAAGCAAATAGTACACCTGTTGATGTTGACAACCTTCCTGACGCAGAAGACGTATGCATCTCCATTAACGCTTTTTTCTTGGCGCTGCTGGAAACTTGCTAAACTGCACTTAGTCTGTTTATGAACCCTTCATCATTAATGGTTAATGCAGAATCTATATTTCAGGTACCGACAATCACAGCAGTTGCGAACGAAGATTCAGCAGCGACAGATTCCACAAAGGTTAATGGTGCTCAGAAAAAATCTGACCTGTCACCACTCGATTTAAGCTGTTCAAATAATGGCGAGAGGTTGGTCACACAAAGCTTTAAATGTCAGATGTTATTGCTGTTAGTTTTTGTTTTTTCAACTTTTTAAAGAAGGTGAGATATAGACTCTGTAACCTATGAAAATATTTTAGAAAACGCCTTACAAAATTTATTTTAGTAGAGAAGATTCGGTTTCAATGTCTCCGTCTTACTACCATTCTGATAACGATGACAATAGCGATAACGTAGAAACCTGTGATCAGTACAATAGCTCCTCACCAACTGGAATGAGTGTTGGCTCAAATGGGATGCAAAGAAGTCCTGCAAATTCTAAACGTTACAGAACTCATTTAACACCGTTACAAGTTCACGTGAGTAAAGTTACTGGTTCAGAATTATAAGGAAACGTTTTGAAAGAAGTTCTAAAGTTTCAAAATAGTCTGTAAATTTCAAGCAGCAAGCTTAGTTATGATTCTATCAGGTGATGAAAAGCGTTTTTGCTGAATATAAAACTCCATCCATGACCGAGTGTGAAACTCTTGGAACCGAAATTGGTCTGCATAAACGCGTTGTTCAAGTTTGGTTCCAGAATGCTCGTGCGAAAGAAAGGAAAACTAGAGCATATAACGGTGAGCATTTGTGGGCAACCTATCGTATTCGATATTTTGTAATGAACTTGGCTTTTCATTAATTTAATATGATATGACTAGTTTTTGATATATCACGCATGAAAGCTTTGTTCTGTTTTTATTCATTTTCATTTATTTAGCCGAGGAGGACTTACAAAGGTGTACAGCGACAAGATGTGTTCTTTGTGCTGTTGAGTACAACCATCGGCTGAATTTGCATGATCACATCTTTACTTCTGGCCATTTAGCCAAAGTGAAAAAATTATTTCGCAGCGATTCATCCAGACTTGATTCAAGTTTGGGGTCAGAAAATATCCTCGATAAGACTGAGGGGAAAGCAAGGTATTTTTCAGTTGTTTGCTGATGTAGTATTACAGTTCTTATTGTTTTTTAAAATGTAAAAGTTATTCTGCCTAGTCTTACCGCTGCCAACTTTAGGGCGAGATCAGTGAGAGACAAAAATATTTCAAAGTCGTCCAATATTAACTTACAGTGTGCTGGCTCCAATCCGCTAACACAGTTTCCATATAATTTTGTTTATGGGTTGCATCCAGGTATGTTTTTTCAACTTTTTTGGTTGAAAAATCTGTTGGATACTTAGCAAAGAAATATTTTTTTGCAAAACTGTTAAAAACTCTTTTTATTCTTATGAAATGTGAGTTCTAGAAAAATATAATAACGATGATTATTACAGGCTTGGCACCATTGATGTGTGATCCCACCGTTGCTGGTACCCCAATTTGTTTGCTGCAAATACCTGAAACAGTCATGACTCAAATAACTGCAGATATGGCTGCAGGTCGAGAATCAACGAAGTTTACTCAGGACGGAAAAACTTTCCAACAACTTATTTCAGTTCTTCCTATCAAAGATTTTCAGTGTGCCGGTAGCAAAGATATTGAGGTTATTTTTTCTGTGCTGTAAGATTGAAAAATGCTTCCTTGGTGGAGTCTTCCAAAGGACATGAGATTCATTTATTGTTTTGTTTCAGGTTGGCTGGGCATGCCCATCTTGCAATACTGTATTCCAACAGGAAATTCTACTGAAAAACCATCAGCGTCTAATATGTAATAGTGATTCAGTATTTAAGCTAATTCAGACACATTACGAGTGTAGAGCATGCAGCACAAAACTCGGCACTCAGGTATCTTTGGCTATTTTTTTGGTTTTAGTTTTCTGTTTGGGTCTTATTTCACTTTGAGGAATAGAAATTCTATGATAAAAACTGACATAATTAGAAATGATGTTGAAATGGAATCAGTTTTATGAAAGAAGCTGTTTGAAAAAAAGCTGTTTTTACAAAAGGATAATTGTTTTGATATGAAAGCGTGTTTAGAAAGAGAAGTTCTTACCGTGAAAAAAATTTATAAAAAAATGTTGTTTATGAACTTTACTGGTTCAGATTTACTCGTTCTGCTTACTTTCATTTTGCAGCGCGACGTTTGTGATGAGGTTACAGGGATTTTTGTAAAACAAGTCTCGTCTTAATTTGCACAATAATGTTTTTTCATCATTTAGAACCCATTCTTTAAAATTGCGTAATTTTTTCTTTTTCTCTTGAAGTTTTTTCATTTTTTAAAAACTTTTATAGACTGAATTTAAAAGTCATTGTGCGACACCGGAACATCAAAAAGCGAGGGATGATTTTCTTGGAACTAATAGTTGACTAAATCTGCGGGTAATTTTTTATGGTATTCTCGATGGATGCGTTTTGCACTTGGTTCTCTTGAATTGTGGAGTTGCCAAAATGCTTGTAAGTGTACCGTGAATTCACTTCTTTCTTGTTTGATGTGAATAAATAATTCGTCCTATGCTTAGTTGTGCGGTTGAAATAGTTTTTTATTTTGATTATTTTAATTGTTTATTATTATTATTATTGCTTTACAAATATGGTTGATAATGTGATATGGTACGATTTTGTTTTGTCATTTAATGTTTATTTCTTTATTTTTTACTTTTAATTTATGATCCCAAAGTTTGGCTTTATTATTATTTTCTGTGATCGGATCTCGACATCCTACTTTAATAATTATCTGTGTTGCACAGCATAATTCGCTTTACAGCGTTGCAATAATATTATATTGTTTTGTGAATTGTTTGAAGAAAAAATGAAAAAATTATTTTTTAATAATGGGAGAGTAGTCATTTTTTTTCATTTTTCAAAAGTTATGAATCCCTGTATAAGACAAGTTGTTATAGGGGCAAATACTGGAAGAGGATCTGTAAAGCATTATTGTGCATTTAACTTAAATTAGCAATAATGGTTTTTTTGCTCTTTCCAAAAAAAGAAAGTTATTGTTGGTTCGTATAAGATTGTTAGCAATATAGTTAAGTTGCCTTATGCATATTTTCTTAAAACAATAAGAGCCTAATTTTTCATTCAGAGTATCTTCCAAAAATTATTTGTTCTAATCGTGCTTCTAACACGAATCGGTAATTTCACTCACAGTATGGTTCTATACTAATCAGTTTTTCTTCCACTGTTAGAGTCTATTCAAATTTGATTTTATTATGATGTTCTTTTGTATTTCATATGCTTAAACCTGTTCTTTTTTTTAAACTTGTTTCGTCTAAATAGTCTTCCAGCTTTACATATATTTTCTTTTAAATTTATTGCCAACAACTGTCACGTGATTGACCCCAATAGATGTTACATGTAGAAGGAAAAATTTTCTGTGAAGTTTTAAGAGTTATCTGTCTTCTGTTTTGGTCAATTGTTGTGTGTGTGTGTGTGTCTGTGTGTCCCTATGCATGTGTTAATTTTGTAATGGGTATTTGTTTTTGAATGGATTTAAGTAGATGGAAGGAGTCTCGGAATCATAAATAGCTATCGGCGCGTCTCCTGTATTCATGGATTTGTGGTTCTGTTTTTGTGGGTATATCCGTATTTATCTGCGACTAAGGGTTGTTTTGGAGTGAAATTTGTGTGTTTCAGTAAGTGTGTGGGTGTTTTTTACATGTATGATTGCGAGTATGTTTTTGAGTGAATTTATTTGTGAGCTTGGGTGAGTGTTTTCCTGTTTGGGTGTTTACATGCAAACGTCTGTTGAACTGTATACGCATAAGATGAATAAGGATGCGTCTACGAGCGAGTTTCAAAGGGTTTTTTTGTTGTTCTAATGCCCGTTTTTTTTATAATCTCATCAGATGCTTTACTGAATTTTTTAACTTTAAACAAAAAAAAAATTAATAAATACGAAGCTGTAGCGGTCACAAATTACTGGGACTTTTTCTGTTTTTTTTGCTTGCTCTTTTCTTTTTGTCTGCATTTTTCATTTTGTCTATTTCAATTGGTGAAATAATAACAATAAGATGGAAGAAATTGGCATTTTTAATGTCTTCAGTGTATCATTATTATTTTTTTTTGATTAATTTTTATGCACGATTATACTGAGATGGAAGGATTATTTACTCTTTTTTTTGTTTTGTAATTTTTTTATAATTTACTTTTATGCACGATTTTGCTGAGATGAAGAGT